CACCATGCCCAGCTAATTTTTTGTACTTTTAGTAGAGACGGGGTTTACACCATGTTGACCAGGATGGTCTCGATCTCTTGACCTCGTGATCCACCCGCCTTGGCCTCCCAAAGTACTGGGATTACAGGCTTGAGCCACCGCACCCGGCCTTCTTTTTTTTCTTATCTGTGTTTTCAATAGTAAATATGTATAACTGTATAATGAAAAGCAATAAAATGTATATGTTTAAGATTGAAGGATTATATATTTTGCAGTATTTTGGGACCAGGAAGGTGAGCCCTCCCTGTGAGTTCTCAGATCCGGACGTGGAACCTGATGGTGAGGCTCTTTTCATATTCATCACAGGACTGGAAATACAAGGCACACTCATTTTGTGTGTGCATTGGTGGTGAAACTGTTGAGGATTGTGAAGATCTAGACTTTTCAATTTCCATCAGTCCCAACCCTTCCTTTTGTAGACGAAGAAGCCCTCAGTCTTTTCATCCTACTCTTGAGCATTCCTCTGGGCCAGGCCCTTTGCTGGGAGCATCACCTATAATCCAAAATCCACCACTCAGGAGCTGCCTCCTGGCTTTGGGAAGAAAGCCAGAAGGATTGGAAGCTTCTTTTGTTCCCACCTTTTTAGTTTTTGATCTGTAAAATGAGAGATGCTATTATCAACCTGTTTTAAAGATTGAGAGAAACAGCACATGCAAAATACAGCCAGACGCACAGGGTAGGCAATAAATGTTTGCTATTATTGCTATAATATGCTTGTGTCGTCCTGACAGACTCTAAGTGGGCACTTACCACTGCCATTTTATACTTACAGAACTAAGAGGAGCAGAGAACTTAAAACTTACACACATGGCTGGACACAGTGGCTCACACTTGTAATCCCAGCACTTTGGGAGGCCAAGGCGGGCAGATCACTGGAGGCCAGGAGTTTTAGAACAGCCTGGCCAACAAGGTGAAACCCCATCTCTATTAAAAATATAAAATTTATCTGGGTGTAGTGGTGTGCACCTGTGGTCTCAGCTACTCGGGAGGCTGAGGCGCAAGAATTGCTTGAATCCAGGAGGCAGAGGTTGCAGTGAGTCAAGATCACGCCACTGTACTACAGCCTGAGCAACAGAATGAGATTCTGTCTCAAAAAAAAAGGACATACACACAAATCAAATGCACACACAAATAAGCAAAAACCCTGCTCAAAGCACTGTATCTTGGAGATTGAAAGGGCAGATTTCATATTCAGGTCTGTGGACTCAATGAGCTATGCTTCCAGTGGTAAACTGCTATGATATCTCGGGTAGGGCTGAGGGAAGAGGGGTGACTTGTCCAAGGCCACAAAACTAAAGAGGGGCAGTGCTGGGATTAAGCCCAACATCTGCTTCAGCAGGTCATTTACTGACAGGGCCTCCAGATGGCTGAATAGAGGTGCCCAGTGCCTGAGGAGATAACCACAGGTGGACTTCCTTGTCTAAGAGAGAATGGTGGGATTCAGCAGGGAGCCTCAGAGGCATGGAAGAAGAGATAAGTGAAGCAGCTGGCCTGGTCAGGATCAGCTTGGAGCATTGACAAACTCCCCACTGCAAGGAAAAGGTAAGGAGAGATCCCAGTCGCCCACATTCCCATCATGGACTCCTGCAATCTTAGCCACAGGAGAGCCCCTTGGCCTTCATGGGCCCTGAGACGAGTAGAGGGAGCTGTGTGGAGTCTGCATGATGGTTTTGTCTCAGAGAGAGAGCTCGTGCAGGGTGCCAAACACCCCCAAGATGCAATCAGCTGCAGCACAGCGCCATGTTGTGATCCTAGACCCTACCAGACTGCATCCTGTCCTGGGGCCCAACAGCCCCTGCATTTCCACATCCCTGGAGACATCCCTCACCCACCCACCCAGAGACCTGCAGCATTGTGATGCCAGGACCTGGCAGGAGTGGTCAGGTCTCCAGCACTCTAGCCCATACAGTGTGCTACACCCCAGGGAATGAATGGTGCAGCTCACTAGGCAGACTTCCCCTGGGACAAAGGGAGCTGAAGCATGTGCTCCTCAGAGCCAACTGCCTGGAGCTGATGTCCCTGACAGCAACCCCTACCACTCCATTGGTGGAGCCACTAGGCTGCTGCATGTATCTTAGGGGGTCTAGGGATTGACACACATAGGTGCCATCCTAGGGCCTGAGGACAGACATCTCCAACCACCACTGCCATCACTGGCATTTGCATATGCCATTTTAGGGACCTGAGAATAACCCCATGGCACTCATTGCCACCACTGCCAGTACCTGTGCATACTACCTAGGGTCCTAGGAATCAATCCGCCTCACCTGCCATCATTGGCACTCTTGCATGCTTTCCAGGGTCCTAAGGATAGGCCTGCCCCACCTGCTGGATTGACTCACCCTGCCCACTACTGCCATCAGCACCCACATGTGTTGTCTGGGATCCTGGGGATTGATCCACACTGCCTGTTCCAGCAAACACTATATAGAACCCTGACAACAGGCTTGACTCACCCACTGACACCACCAGTAACATACAAACATACCATCTGGGGGCCTGGAAATTGAGCCACCTTGCACACCATTCCCAGAGCCCACACACACCTTCCAGGGGCCTGAAGACAGGTCTGCCTCTGCCACCACCACTGGCACCCACCTACACACCACTGCTCGTGCCTGCACATGCTGCTTGGAGGCCCAAGAGTTGGCCCTCCACCACTACAGCCACCAGAAATACTATACACACCAACCAGGGGCTCAAAGACATGCCCATCTACATGGCCCACTGCTGCCAATTCTGGCATCCAAGCAAACTACCTGGTGGCCCAAGGACTAGCCCACTTAGACCCACCACCACCAACACCCATGTACACTGCTGCTGCCACCACCACTAGGTACCCAAAGACTGGCCTGCATGGCATCCCTGTCCCTAGTAAAGTCTTGCCACAGACCCCACTAATGACCACTGCCTAAGCCACGGCGGAATTCACAAACACCACTGATGCCAATTACAGATGAAGAAATCATAAAGACCACACTACTGCAATCAAAGCCAAAATACCCTACCCAACCAACACTATAGATATACCTATAGAAAAAGAGTATTTTCCTACAAAAGCCAATCTACAAAATTGGAAGGTGTAACTATTAAATCAGATATGCAGAAATCAATGTAAGGACACATGAAAATGCAAGGAAACATGACACCTCCAAAGGAATACAATAAGCCTCTAGTAATAGTTCCCAACAAAAAAGGAAATCTATAAAATGCCTGAAAAAGAATTTAAAATAATTATCTTTAAGGAGCTCGGTGATATATAAGAGAACACAGGTGAGCAATACGTATAAGTCAGAAAAACAATTTATGATCTGAATGAGAAGTTCAACAAAGAAGCATAATTTAAAAAAAAGAAATTCTGGAACTGAAAAATTCAATAAATAAAATTTAAAATCAATTGAGAATTTAAACAATAAGCTAAATCAAGCAAAACAAGGAATTTTGAAATAACCCACTCAGACAAAAAAAAGAAAAGAAAAAAGAATGAAAAAATCTACATGATATATAAGACACCATAAAGTGACCATATAGCTGAATCTTAGGATTTACTGGAGAAGATATGGACAATGGTATAGAAAATCTATTTAATAAAATAATAGCTGAAAATTTCCCATGTCTTAGAAGTAATATAGACAGATACAGGAAGCTCAAAAATCTCCAAAAAGATTAAACCCAAATAATCTTCTCCAAAGCATATTATAACCAAACGGTCAAAAGTCAAAGATAAAGAGAGAATTCTAAAAGTAGTAAGAGTCAAGTCACATATAAGGAAGTCCAATTCAACTAACGGTGGATTTCTCAGCCAAAACCTTACAGACCAGGAGAGAATAAAATGACATATTCAAAGAGCTGAAAGAAAAAAAAAAACCTGCCAGCCAAGAATGCTTTACCAAGCAAAGCTATCCTTCAAAAATGAAGGAGAAATAAAGTCTTCCCCAGACAAGAAAATCTGAGGGAATCACCACTAGACCAGCCTATCAGAAATGCTCAAGGGAGCCCTACACCTGGAAGCAAAAGAATGATATCTACCACCATAAAAACACACAAAAGTATAAAACCATTTTTAAAGCAGATATAAAAGTGAGAAATGAGTCAAATATTACCACTACAGAAAACCACCAAACTGCAACAACAAGAGAGGAAGAAAGGAACAAAGGACATACAAAACAATGTGAAAACAATTAACAAAATGACTTGAATACATCCTCACCTATCAGTAATAACCTTAAATGTAAATAGATTCAATTCCCTACTTCAAAGATATAGACTGGCTAAAGGGCGGGGGGGACATGAATCAACTATTGAATCAACTATGTACTTGCTACAAGAAATTCACTTCACTTGTAAATATACCCACGAACTGAAAGTGAAGAGAAGAAAAAAATATATTCCACACAAATGGGAATCAAAAGTGAGCAACAGTAGTTATATCAGATAAAACAGGCAAATGATCTCTGTCTCTTTTAACCATTTTTTACTTAAAGATCATTATATGATGATAAAGGGATCAATTCAGCAAGAAGCTATAACAATTCTATATATATACATGCCCAACACCAGAGCAGTTTTACTACAAATAGTAATATTCGGGGACTTGAACACCTCACTCTCAGCATCATACAGATCATCTAGAGTGAAAATCAACAAAGAAACATTGGATTTAAATTGCACTTTAGGCCAAATGGACCCAACAGGCATTTACAGAACATTTCATCCAACAGCAGCAGAATACACCTTTTTACCATTAGCATGTGGAATATTCTCTAGGATAGACCATATGTAAGAGCACAAAACAAGTCTCAACAAATTTTTCATAATCAAAATTACATCAAATATCTTCTCAGATGATAATGGAATAAAATAAAATAAAATAATCAATAAAAAAAGGAACTTTGGAAATTATAAAGAACACTTGGAAATTAAATAACATGCTCCTGAACAACCAATGGACCAACAAAGAAATTAAGAAGAAAAATTTTTAATTTCTTGAAACAAATGAAAGTAAAAACACAACATACCAAAACCTATGGGATACAGCAAAAACAGTGCTAAGAGCGACATTTATAACAATAAATGCCTATCTCAAAAAAGTAGAAAGACTTTAAATAAGCAACATAGTGATGCACCTTAAGAAACTAGAAAAGCAAGAAAAAATAAAGCACAAAATTAGCAGAAGGAAAGAGATAGTAAAGATCAAAGCAGCTAAATGAAGTAGAGACTTATAAAACAATCCAAAGAATCAATTTTTAAAAATTGGTTTTATAAAATGGTAAACAAAATCAATAAACCACCAGTTAAACTAACCAAGGAAAAAAGAGAAATGACCCAAATATATAAAATCAGCAACAAAGAAGACATTACAACATGATACCACAGAAATACAAAGAATTATTAGAGACTATCAGAAACAACTATACACTAGCGAACTGGGAACTTACAGGAAATGGTAAAAATTTCTGGACACATACAACCTACCAAGATTGAATCAGGAAGAAATAGAAAACCTGAACAGACCAATAATGAGTAATAAGATTGAATTAGTTAAAAACAAAAAAATATCTCACAACAAATAAAAGCTGACTCACTACAAAAAAAAGTAGCTTTACTGCTGAATTCTACCAAACTTTTAAAGAACTAACACAAATTCTTCTGAAGTTATTCCAATAAATTGAAGAGGAGGAAATTCTTTCTAACTTATTACATGAGGCCAGCATTGCCCTGATATCAAAATTAGACAAGAACACAACAAAAATGGAAAACTATAGACCAATATCCCTAGTGAACACAGATGCAAAAATTCTGAACAAAATACTAACAAACTAAATTCTACAACACATTCAAAAGGTAGCACACTATGATGAAGTGAGATTTAGCCCAGGGATGCAAATCAACATATGCAATCAATAAATGTGATATATCACATTAAGAGAATGAAGGCAAAAACCATATGATATCGCAATAAATGGAAAAAGCATTTGATAAAGTTTAGCACCCCTTCATGATAAAAATTCAACAAACTAAGCATAAAAGGAACATACCTCAACATAAAAAAGGCCATACATAACAAACCCTAAGCTAACATACTAAATGGGGAAAAGCTGAAAGCTTTTCCTCTAAAAACTGGAACAAGATAAAGACGCCCACTTTTACCACTCTTATTCAATACAGTATAGAAGTCCAAACCAAAGCAATCAGGCCAGGAAAAGAAATGAAAGGCACTCAAGTTAGAAAAGAGAAAGTCATGTTGTCCCTCTTTGCAGATAATATAATCTTATATTTAGAAAACTCTGAAGACTTCACCAAAAAAACTCTTAGAATACATGAACAAATTTAGTAAAGTTTCAGGATACAAAATCAACCTTCAAAAATAATTTTTAAAATGTTTTTTTCTACACACTAATAAACTAGCTGAAAAGAGAAATCAGGAAAACAATCCCATTTACGATAGCTACCAAAAAAGGATAAAACTCCTAGGAATAAATTTAACTTAGGAGGTGAAAGCCTCTGCCATGAAAACTACAAAATACTGATAAAAGAAATTGAAGAGGAAACAAACAAATGGAACGGCATCCCATGCTCATGGATTAGAAGAATTAATATTTTAATATTGTTAAAATGATGACACAATGCAAAGCAATCTGCAGACTCAATGCAATTTCTATCAAAATGTCAATGACATTCTTCACAGAAGTTTTTGTAAAATACAAAAATTCATATGGAACCACAAAAGACCCCAAATAGCCAAAGCAACACTGAGCAAAAAGAACAAAGTTGGAGGCACTGTACTTCCTGACATCAAAATATATTATAAGCCTATGGTAACCAAACTGGAATGACATTGGTATAAAAACAGATACATAGAACAATGGAACAGAATGGAGAATTCAGAAATAAATACATGTATTTAAAGCCAAATGATTTTCAACAGAGGCACCAAGAACATACCCTGGGGAAAGGGCACCCTCTTCAATGAATGGTGTTGGGAAAACTGGATATCCATATGCAGAAGAATGAAATTAGACCCATATCTCTCATCACATACAAAAATCAATTCAAGATGAATTGAAGACTTAAATGTAAGACTCAAAACTACAAGATACTAGAAGAAAATATAGAGGAAAAATTTCAGGACATTGGTCTAACAAAGACTTTATGTCTAAGACGTCAAGAGCACAGGCAACAAAAACAAAAATAGACAAAGAGGACTACATTAAGCTAAAAGCTTCTGAACACCAAATGAAACAATCAAGAAGAGAGTAAACAGATAACTTATAGAATGGAGAAAATATTTACAACTATGCATCCAACAAGGGACTAATGTCCAGAATATACAAAGAACTCAACTGAACACCAAAACAAATAATCCCATTAAAAAGTGGGCCAGAGACATGAATAAACATTTCTCAAAAGAAAACATACCAGTGGCCAATAGGTATATAAAAAACTGTTCAACATTACTAATCATCAGGGAAATACAAATCAAAACCACAATAAAATATCACCTCATCCTAATTAGAATGGTTATAATAAAAAAACAAAAAATAACAAATGCTACCAAGGACACAAAGAAAAGAGACCTCTTACACACTGTTGGTGGGAATATAAACTAATACACACATACAGCCATTATGGAAAACAGTATAAAGTTTCCTCAGAAAACTAAAAGTATAACTACCATACAATTTCACAATCCCAGTACTGAGCATTTATCCAAAGGAAAGGAAATCAGTACATCAAAGGGATACCTGCACACTCATGTATAGTGGAGCATTATTCACAATAGCCAAGATATGGAATAAACATAAGTGTCTATCAATGGACAAATGGATAAAGAAAATGTGGCACATATACACAATGGAATTCTATTTGGCCATAAAAATAAATGAAATTGTATTATTTTCAGCATTATGGATGGAACTGGAGGTCATTAAGTTAATGAAATAAGCCAAGTACAGAAAGAAAAATACCACATGTTCTTATTCATATGTGAAAGCTAAAAAAGTTGATCTCATGGAAGTGGAGCATAGCATGATAGCTATCAGAGTCTGGGATGGGTAAAGAGGGAATAAAGAGGTGTTGGAAAATGGGTACAACATATCGTAGAGGAAGTAAGTTCTAGTGTTCAATGACACAGTAAGGTGACTAGAGTTAGCAATTATTTAGCATATATCTCAAAATAGCTATAAGAAGATCTGAAACGTTCCTAAGAAAAAAGCGTAAATATTTGAGATGATAGATATCCTAAATACCCTGATTTGATCATTATACATTGTATGCATGTATCAAAATATCACACATACCCCATAAATGGGGTTATCCCATTTATGCTTAGCATTCCATTATTGGAACTAGTACAGCCATTATGGAAAACAGTATAAAACATCATTGGAAAGCTAAGCATGAGGGAGTTATTTATATCCTATTGCTCGAGGTCATCGCCAACCTCTGTTTGCAAAAATTCAAAATATTGCAACCTCAGGCAAAAATGGGTTAATGTGTACAATTATTATATATCAACCAAAAAAGACAGTCATTTATATTCATATGTCTTTCAGTGCATTAATAAAACAATCGAGGTCATCCTCTTCACAAAAAGCTAGTCTTTCAGTATTATGGCCACAGAGAGCCAATTCTGGGTTTTCTAGGAATGGGTTTGAACTGGGCCAGATCCCCAAAGGCTGGGTTCACTTGGAAGGCTGGTGAGCACCACACCTCAGCCACGTCTCAAGGAAGCGCTCGCTTTGGTAACTACCAAGGCAGAAAACAATCAGTGCCAGGGAAACACAAGATGAGCCTGCAAGGGGGTAGACACAGTCCCCTAGCGACGACCTTGTCCTCAGGAGATATGAGCAAAGTCCAGTGGGCCAGGCAGCTTGCATGAAGTAAGGAGACCACCAAGTCAAAGGGGCTTAGATGCCAGCTGCCTTTACACCCCTAGTTGGGTGGAGGGAACCACATCTGCACTCAAGGGTCCACCAACACTCACCATGAGAAGACGTGTTGGCTACGCATCAGCCAAGTACTCCTGCCCTATCCTTTCTGCTTCATCAGCCACGGCCAGCCAAATATATGACCAGGGTAGTTAGAACTTCAGATTGACTCTGCTGCTAGCAATCTGTAGGAAAAGAAGAAATCGAATATCCCAGAGGTCTCTTATCTGAGACACTGTGAAGCAGAGAGTTGTTCTCCATCCCCCAGGTTAATTCTCAGGACATAACACTACTCTCCCCCACTCCCATATCCCCACTCCCCACCCAGCCACCATCCCCGTTCTTTTTTCCTGGCTTATCTCTGAAAGCCCTCGGCACAGTGGAGTCATGTGCACACCATGTGAGCCAACATGGGAGTTCCCGTCAGTGCCCAAGCCCACACATGAAGCCTTATCTCTCACCACTACATATAAGTCTGCAAATAAATTTCAAATGTCAACGAACAACTAGGAGATGAATGGGCGAATGCAGTCACATGTTCCTTAAGTTTTCTACCATAAGACAGTGCTATATCAGATGCAGGGTGAGAAACGTTCATTTATCAGACTTTGACTAAGCACCTGATGTGTACAAGATACTGGGAGCATTCATCCTTTTTCTGCCCCAGAAAGCAAACCAGAAGGACATCTAAGTCCCTGCTTAGCTGCCCATTGAACTTGGTGTTTGGTGAAGCTAAGCCTCACTTATGAGAACAAGAAGACATCCACAAAGCTGTGATTTTACCCCACTGCATTAAAGATTTTCACTTATTAAAATAAGCACTGTGCTTTACAAAGCAAGCTTCAGGACTCAGGCATGCATAATGCAATGCATCCTGCAGCTTTATATACTCAGCATCCTTGCATCTTTTTCTGATGACCAGCCACTGTGTTACCATTCTTTCCTGTGCCTCCTGGTAACAAAGGAATGCCCTTTCAGGGCACACGATTGCTGTTTGCTGTGGTACTGCAGTGAACAGCCCCAGAGTGCTGGAAAGTCCCTCTATCTTCACTCACTGTCAGCCTCAGCACTCCCTCCTTCCTGTCCTTACGCATTTGTGACACCCATCAACAGAAATACATAATCCCTGCCATCTTCCTGTTACCCAAGTTTAATAGCCATTCATTCATTCATTCACCAAAGGCTCTCTGAGCACCTTCTCTGTGCCAGGCTCTCAGAGATCATAAGAAATAAGAAATGAATAAAGCCTGTCCCTACTTCCCTTGCAGCCACAGTTGCAAACTGGGACAAACCTACTTCACCTGTCAGAACCTTAGTCTCTTTCTCCACCCAGGTTGGAGATCAAAGCTGGAATAGTCCTTAGAGATGATCTAGAGCAAAGGTCCCCAAACAATGACCAGATGGTCAAATCCAGCCTGTCAATGAAAGTACACAAAATCTACATTGTCAAAGAAAAGACCCATCCACCTGACTCCCAGGTGGCCACTTCCACACAACTTTCAGGCTTCCTCTTTGGGCCTAGAGATACCCCCTCTTCCATGTGCTATCTCAGTCAGAGAACAAGGAGATAGGAAGAAGGACTGTGTCTTGCTCCATGTGTTCCTGGAAGCCAGGGACACCTGCCTCCCTGTTGTGGGCCCCTGGCCTCTCCTTTGTGCCTGAATTCTTAATGTCTGCCCCAGATCTGACTGCTCCAAGGGTAGAGTGAGCCTTTGGGGTGCAACCGCCTTCTTCTATCACCTGGACTCACACTCGGCCCTAGGCCCATGTGCCACACCCCTTCTCTGTGGGATAAAATTACAGCCAGGGACGAGGTTAGGAAGGGATTCTTAGTCCACTACAACAAGAACCCCCCAGGGAGATTATTTTATAATCTCAACAACTGGAGAAACAGTCCCTTATGCCCCCAAACGCACAGGCATGGAGTCTGAAGGGGGTTTCTGTGTGATGACTACAGGAAATGCATAGGCTTTGCACTGCCTCCCGCAATGTGAACTTGAGCCTGTACATTATCTCTCACTGCCTAAGGGAAACCAGGACACAAATAAGAGGCATTTCACAGTGATGTGCTGTGGCTTAATGAGATTACAGGGGCAGAGATCCAGCACAGTGGCCAGCACAGGACACATGTTCAGTCAGCCCGAACCTGCTCCCGCAGACACGGGCACACACCACCGCTGGATGTGGAAACTGCAGGCACTACAAAGTCAAATAAATAAGCTGCCCAAGGTCACACAGCTAGTAAATGGCAGGGTCGGGGTTTGAACCTGTCTCCTACCATGATGTGTGCTTGTTACCTCTTACAGGTACACAGAAATTAAATCAGTAAACAAATGAATGGACAAGGTAGGGATAGGTGCCATGAAGAAAACAAGTCAGGTGGATGCGATTGCCTCATGAGGACTGCATTAGATTTGCTCATCAGAGCTTGTGTTTGAGCAGAGAAAGAGCCAGCTTTGAGAACATCTGAGGAAATACCTGTAGATAGAGGAGGCAGTGAGTGCAAAGGCCCTGAGGTAATGCAGTGAATATTCATCACTTTTACTTGGGGCTCTCCTTGCAAACCAGGGCCTTTCGTAGGACATAAAATGCCAGATATTTGTTTTATCAGTGATAGAGTTTGGCTGTGTCCCCACCCAAATCTCATCTTGAATTGTAGCTCCCATAATCCCCATGTGTCATGGGAGGTAATTGAGTCATGGGGGCAGGTCCTTCCCATGCTGTTCTCATGATAGTAATAAGTCTCATGGGATCTGATGGTTTTATGAACAGGAGCACCCCTCCACAAGATCCCTTGCCTGTCACATGTAAGATGTATTTTTGCTCCTTTGTCTTCCATGATTGTGAGATCTCCCCAGCCATGTGAGACTGAGCCCAGTCTTCTAAAAAGAAAAATAACCTTTCTTTCTTTTTCAATTACCTAGTCTTAGGTATGTCTTTATTAGCAGTATGAGAACAGACTAATACAGTCAGCCTCCCTTGCAGCTAGCATGTGGTTCGTTTATGCTCCTCAATCAGACATGCTGACCCTAGACCTTGAGTCAGAAGTGAGTGACACAAAGAAACTGGGGCTGTGCAGGCTGCAGGCTGACAAGGGTGTCCCTAATGCAGTAACCATGTCCAGTCTCTGGGGCAGCCATGGCTATCGCTATGTGGCAGACTCCATGTTCAGTGCCAGCACTGTTGGCAGGGATGGCCATGGTGTCTGTGCCCAGGGGCAACATCTCAGAGCTGCTCTGCAACATGATTGGGGGTACTATTTCCAGCTACATCGCCTTCATGCGTAGTTTTCTGGCTCTTTAGGAGACTCAATAAACTCCAAAATATTGTTTTAGTAAATTTGTTTTCTGCTTGAAACACCTGAAGTCACTTTTCATTGCTTGCAACTTGGAACCCTGACAAATACATGCCCAGACCATGAGTGCCCACCCAATATCCATGTGCTCCCCTGCAGTGCCCAGCCTCCCCTGCATTTGTGCTTAGGCTATGTGACTAGTTCCAGCCAACAGACTGTGAGCATATAAGTGACGAGTGTCAATGCTGGGCCAAATAAATTTCTCACCAGGGCCACATTGGATGCCACATTTTGGGATAGCAGCATCATAAAATGGAGGGAACCTGGATCCCTGAGTCACTAGGTGGAGAACAGATCTGCCAGCCCACATCAATAGTTCATAAAGAAGAATCAGACGTGTAAGGAGCTGAGCCACTGAGATTCCAGGGTTTGTATGTTACTGCAGCACAGCCCAGTCTATCCTAACTAGAGGTCAAGTTTAAGGGTAAGAAAAAAGGTAGGTGGCATCAAGCACAGTGAACAACGGGGAGAATGGTCTGAAATAATACTGAAGTGATTATTGACATGGGAAAATTTTTTGTGATTTTATTCTAAGTGGGCTAAAAAAAGCCACTGGCAGGTTATAAGCAAAAGCAGTCATAGCCAAACATCAAGGCAAACTGCCTTCCACACAGCTTGTAGGCATAGGGAGCTTACAGGGGCCTCAAAAGGCATCTCATCGATCCTCAGCTATTGCCTCACACTCTCCCACATTGATGCTTGTAAGGAGTTACCTGCCTCTTCTTGCACATTTCTACTGATAGGAAGTGCATGTCTTTCTAGGACTACTCACATTTGGGGGGTATTGTGCTGACCTTCTTTATTTCCCTGTGACCTCTCTCTACTGGCAAACCCCAAAAACTGTGAACACATCCCCTATTCCTCAGCAGCTAGCTCCTCACAGAGCCTGCTACCTTGGTTCTGCTCTGCTAAATACACAGCCACTGGCCACTGACCTCCCAAAAATCTATCTCTAGCAGAACTGGATTCTGAAAGCAGAGTAGAGAATGGGATTATGGATCCAAGGATCTCAGCACTGAGAGCATAACCAGTCCACTGTGCAACATGCCAGCGATGGATTCACAGGATCTCTTATGTTTTCATCACCCTCCTTATGTGTCCCCTGGAGAGAACACAGGGGACATTTGAATCTCTAGGCCTGGTTCCTTCTGCCTGCCCTGGCCCACATCCCTAGCCTAACCTTCAGCTCCATGAGCTGATGCAGCAGGAATTTATTTACGAGCTCATTATCCCTGTGAATCATGTCCAGCTTGAGTTGGGACTTAACAAGAGGAGTGGTCCTTTAAGCAGCTGTGCACATGAGGCTTGGGGAGAGGATGGGCCAGGACAAGCAGGGCCTCACTGCACCAGGAGCCAAGAGGGCAGATGGGAGCAGTGGATGGGAGGTGTCTCCTGCCAGCCCTGGAGTTTGTCCTGGCTCCAGCAGTTCTAGGGCTTTTCCAAACACTGGCTTAATTCCAACACAGAGGCTGAAAATGGAAGATTTGGCTGGTCATCCATTCTTTACTTCTAAGCCCCAAAATATACCAGGGAATCTGAGAAGGGAGAAAAGCAAGTGACCAACATCTTTCTGACTTCTATCTCACCAGAGCGGTCCCTGCCCCCTGGCCCCCCCCCCACCCCCCCACCCCCGGCTTTGGCAGTCCCCAGGTGGGAAGGTTTCACAGCGTGGCATTATTTAAATGCAGGATATGATCATTAATCTATTCAAACTTCTTTTCGACCATTGTTTTACTTGATTGCTGCACATAAGTTTAACCATGTCCATTTGAGAGAGAAGGGTTCAAGACTCCGAAGAGACTGGCCCAAGGTTGACTTGCAATAAGTAGC